GATAATATTAAATTATCTGCAAACCAATTACATGCCATGGTTCAGCAGCACTGAAGCCACTTGGCGACACACTCACACTCACACATGCACAACCACAAATCCTAAGCTACTTTTAATATCCGTGCCTGTATACAGGAGAAATATAAAGCAGCACACTGGCTGTATTTGGATGTAACAGAGTAAATTGGTAAGGAGGCGAGTAAACTGCTGAGTTTAGCAGTTGCTTCCATTTTCACGGGGAGGAAAATAGCCGAAGATTGCATACGACACCTCTTCTCATGCTTTCTAACTACAAAGCACCAACTTTTTCTGGGAATTTTGCCATTTTCCTACTTCTGTTTTTTCATACGTGAAAATGATCAATAAATCAATCATTAGACTGCATCACATTCAGACTCTAGTATAACACAGTTGTTGTTTTATTGTAGAGAAACTTAAGCCCTTTGTTAGAAATGGTAAAGATTATAAGACTGTAGATATATTGTAAAGATATAGATTAACAGTTTGAAAACAATTTAATGTTTCTGTCACTTCCTTTTTAAAGGTCCAGTGAGGAACATTTAGCCTGTCTCTATTCTGGTCAGCACTGAGCCAACATTCACACCGGAGTAAACATTCATGTTATGGGAGGAGGTGCAGCAGCAGAGTGAAGCAGTGTGTGATCCTCCTGTCTTTAGCCGTAATGTTACCGCAAAGCTGCGGTAATGTATTGTTATTCATGACGTCGACGTCATTACTCACATCTCCAGGCCAGAAGGGTCTCGCTGCTCACTGCTGCTCCCTAGCTGCTGCTGCTCCCTCCAGTAGCATGAATGTTTACTTTGGTGTGACAGTTGGCTTCGGTGCTTAACTTCCTAAATCTGGAGCTGTGTGGCGCTGCCGCTACTTCCTGCTTGCTCCCGTCAGTGTCAGTCGTCCTTTTTTGACGAACAAAAAACCTTGTATATCAATTTTTTCAATGGGCCTTCTGCCGCCATAAATATTTGAATTTTAACTCAGTCAGCGGCCTGCCCCCCCTTCACCCGTAATTGGCCAACACGTTGCCTTCGATCGATTGGATTAGTTGAATGTCAAGACATGTCAAGATAGATGAAATTAACTGAAGATGACTACTCTGACGGAAAAAAACAAAACCCAAATCAAATTAATAGAAAATTTTGCTTTTAGTCCAGGGCAGGCACTGCTGACTCAGTGGGCGGGCACAGCCCCCAAATGTCCGCTCATGCTGCCAGGTCTGATTTTGGTGCCCTATCTGGATAAAACAGTCCTTGCTAATGATCTCCCTGACCGGCTACAGTTTTGACAGTCAAATGTTTAATTTATTGTGAATCATATCTGTGGGAACTGTAAATACAGAGCTGTTTCTGCTGACCCCATCTAAAATTTTAGGCATTGAAAAGTACAGTGAAAAATTGTCATTCTTGTCACTGATGGTTTTGTTTGCCTGATATTTTCTTTGCAGCTTTAAATCATTTAATTACATGGCTGGTTCAACAAATTCTGTCTTTGAGAACCTTTATTTCAACCTCTATCTGAGATGCTTCATTGAGACCACTGTATTTTGGAAGCCTCCCTCAATGTTGCCATGCAACAAAGTTGTGTGTCTTTCTAAAAAATGACCAATTTGGTCTTTAAAGGAAATTCCCTGTCTGGTGATGTCAGGATTTGAGAAAATCTCAAATCAATATCCCTGAATTCCCATGTCACCTTTTAAACAAGCCATTTAGAGCATACTACAGTTCTTTCTGATGATTACTTCAACACACATTAACCTTGCAGAATTATCAGAGAGTAAAGTCAGTTTACTCATTTGTCTGTAAAATATATATAAAAATAAATAAATAAAAAATACCATCTCTTAAAAAAAGGAGCTAGTGAGTGACTTGTTGTGGACATTAACTGGCATTTTAAGAAGACAACAGCCAGTTAACTTGTAGGACCATGACAAAAACTTGTGTATGTGTATGTTGGACTCAAAATTTGCCATAGTGCAGGACGAGTGATCAAAACATGGCTAACTCTCTAAGTTGCATCAGTAAATCATGGTTTTAAAGTTGACAAAGAAACAGTTTTGGCAAAGCTGACCAGCTAACCAACTTACTCAGGCAGACTTACTCTTTGATGTGCTTCCTGCAGGGCACAGAGTTTCTCATGCAGGTACCAGTGAGCCTCTCCACATCCTCCACAATGACAAAAGGTTTCTCCTCCAAGGTGACAATAGACAGGTGGTTGTCATCCAGCTCAGCATCGCCGAAAGAGTTGAAGCGCGGCCACACTGGGTACTTCAGTGTCAGGCTGCGATTTTCCAGTTTCCCCATCTGGAGGGAGGGATAGGAGGATGACAGAGATGTTTCAATAAATTAGTTTGGCTCAACAAGATTGTTAAATGAAAAAGAAATTGGAGGAGTTGGATTAAAGTTAAGGCTTTTATAAAGGGTGTGGCTCTCATCCAATACTTTACAATAGTGAGCAGTATGGGAGCCAGCATCTGCCTGGAGACACTTTTTGTTAAAGCTAATACTCAGCAAGACTGTTTCCCTCAGATCTAATGGCTTTTAGCTGACAGGGAGCAGAAGTGGCGGGGTAAATAATATCCAGTGATACCAAAGAAGAGAAATGCAGTGTGTTACTTTTCTTTACCTGTAACTGCTGTAACCTGTTGCCTTATAACTCAAAGCAAAAAGGAAGTGGAGAGGATTACAAATGTAGACACATGTTAACATTTCCTTTTCATGTCACAAACAATGCTGTTTTTGGCACAAAAGACATACAAACCGGTATACATGTTAAGAGATCATAAATAATGTGACTGCCGGTGCGACTGTAGGCACAAAAATAACAGACTAAAAGCATGGTGTGTGGGGATGCATGACAGAACGCACACAGAGGGATACAGTGAGGCTATAAATGTAAACATATATGAGGAAAAGAAAGGGAGTGTAGCGGTATGATAACGCTGTGACTCTGTTAATAATTCACAAAGTTTTCAGAGCGATGATGTCACAGATTCCCCTATGGATGCTCTTACCCACCCATAGCTGTCTGTCAGTAAATGTATGAGTGCGAGCATGTGTGTGTGTTGTTGACGTCTGTTTGTATAAGACAGGGGAAAAGGGGGAGAGAAAGAGCAAGACAACAGCAGGCAGAGAGGCTTTGCGCGACTCCTTTATTATTAATGTTACAGGAGACAGAAAACGGCAAAACCTCACTCTCACTCTTTCCTTCCATCGCAAAACTCCCCCTACCATCTTTCTTTCCTCTCCTTTTTTTATATCTCTGGTGGCCTCTCACTGCTGTAAAGTGGAGTGCAAAGTTTTGTTTGTTTTGCACGCTCATTAACACACACAGGGGCGAGCACGGCGGCGTCTGAACTTGGAACAAATGGGGACACGCTAACATGCGTATTCTTTTTGTCAGGCATGTGTGGTAAAAAAAAGGAATCCTTGGAAAAGCCAGCACACACAGTCAACGGTCATTATACAGCCCTGCTAATATTTTACCCCTTTCACCCTTGAGTCATATAGGAAAATAATCACTCTCACATAAACACACACGCATGTTTTTGCTCAGCCTGCATGCCTGGCTAAGTCATTAACATCCGAGCAGAGAGGAGGAAGTGAAATTAGCATTTTAATTGTTTTGCTTTGAGTGGTTTTCTATCCTCTGACAGGGATTAGAGTCTTCTCTGTGCTCTTAGTTGGCGCCGCAGTCAACAGCTCACTCTGCTGTCGGCTACATCTTTTCCAATGCGTGTGTAGGTGTGTGTTTGTTGGGTGGGGGATGGGGCAGGGGGTCAGGACAGAACGTTTTGGTGGCATGCGTGTGATTTCTTATGTGTCACCTTCACTCTCTAGGGAACTGTCACATTTGTCTATCTGTCTTACCCCAGCTGTTTTGCATTTCACAAGCCAGTGCCTACATGTCTACACAAACACAGATGTGTGTGCGTCTACCAAAAAGTACAGGGAGATATAGAAGTAAAGAGGATTCTGTTTAATTACTCTTCATTTCCACTTCGATGTTTCCACAGGGACTGATGTCCCTAAGTATAAATATATGGGTCATGCTTCTGGGGTCCAATGAAAGGAAGGGTTTTGAATTTCTTAAAATAATTTGAAAGTTGAACTTTCATTCAAACTCTGGGGGAATAGCTCAAATTTAAACTGTAATGAGCCACTGCACTAAGCGGACAACCAAGAAATCTGATAAGAGTGACATATTTAGGGATCTAACCTGAAGAAGGAAAGATTTAAAAAAAAAGGGATGTATATCAACTTTGTACAAAACAGTGACAATCTAGTGCCATCACCATTGTGTCTATCATACATTATAAATTTCACCAGTCTTGCGAATAAGTGAAATGTTTTTTTAACACCTAACTGTCTTGTATTTTGGTTGCTTGAATGAAACCACTTACACTTAACTTGATCCCCCAAAGTATTTACATTCAACTCGTTAGCTGCTTCTATTTTTGTATTCACCATAAATCTCAGAGCTTCGTTTTGATCGTTTTAGACCATTGTTTCTCTGGTAACTAAAAAATCTTTTTTTTTTTTTTTGCATCAAACTGATAGACAATTTAACCGTTTTCATTGTATCATCATATTCTAGTAGAATAACATGACTTTGATTCACAATGTTATACAGGCAGTTAAACAGGTTGATTTTACTCATACTAAACCACGTCACCATAAATATGGGCAACAAATTGAAGGGAATGTTTTGTTAGCTAGAAAGCAGCCTTTAAGCTAAGCTAGCAAATTTGATTTGCAATACCACAAAAATGCTCTACAACAGTTTGACTTAGTTACATTAGCTGCACTTATTGAACTCTGAAGTTACATTCTGTACAATTGTGACCAAAGAGACATTAAAAATGTTTAGATATGCAACTCAAGTCTGCTTTTAGTCATTAGTCTGAGCTTTGGAGTATCGGCCCTGATTTGGTTGAATGAATCAATAAACTTGAAGGCAGGATATTTATTCTGCTCACAAGTTAAGCTGAAAAGTGAGAGGGAAGTGAAGGAAGAGGAGGATAGGGAGAAGAAGCTGACTTCAGCAGCTCTTCTGATTTCCTGTCCTCCTGCTCTCTTCTTTCCCTCTCTCTCTCTCTTCTCTAATTAAACAAAGAGGGTTATAAATTAATGCCCAGAGAGAAGAGCGGATTCTCTCTATCGACCGGCCAAGCAGCATAATGCTGAATCCCCCTGTATAAAACACCAGATATTACACACGCACAATGCATAGAGCAGTATGTGTGTCTGCGTGAGTGCGATGTGACAGCGGGGCCAGTGGGAGGTTACGATGATAGGGCCTGTGGGATTACCGCATAATAACATCCCATGGCGGCAATCTTATCGCACCATCACCCTGCAACGAATTGAGAACCACTCTGTGATGAGATGATTCTCGACCCCACGAGATCTAAGTCCCTGAATCTTGTCCTTTATTTCTTTAAATCCTTGTTTTGTTTTGATAAATGCTCCTTCTTCTCTCACCCTACAGCTGCCCTCCATCTCTAAGTTCTCTTTATCCTCCACTTTGACTTTTTTTTTGAATACTTTTCATTTTTTTCTAAATGTCTTGACCTCTGTTTGATCTATATTGAACAGCTTTTATTTCACTTTTTATGTTTGTTACCTTTGAAAAAAACACACAAACACATTCCTCATAAAATGCCCCTTTTGTGGCTCAGTAGACTCAGTTGTTGAGTGCGTAATGGTGCCAGAGTCCCATGTAAAAAAGGTAAACAAGTGCATCCTATTTCCTGCACACACTGGCAATCAAGTCCTTTTTCAGCTTTTTGGTCCTGCCCAGTAAATGCATAATAGGGTAAGAGTCCCTTGTTGGGAAGGTAAACAAGTACGTCCAATCTCACACACCCATATACTGATAAAGATGTTGGTGAGTGCATAATGGCACCAGTCCCCTGTTCAAGGGTCAACAAGTGCATCCCATTTCTTGCAAACATTGGCACACACCCTGAGTCAAGCCTCTTTCCGGCTCTAAGGTCCCAGCCAGTAAATGCATAATGAGGTAAGAGTCCCTTGTTGGGCTGGTAAACAAGTATTTTCAATCTCTCACACACACACATATACAGATAAAGCTGTCCCTCTACATGCTCAAAAGCTACTACTATCAGCTAGAGGCTGGCCTTTAAGCTGAGAAAGAGATAAAAGTAAGTATAAACAAGGGTCAGTGCTTGTATACCTTCTCTCTTCTCTATGCCACTCTCTCCAGGAGAGTTATCGCCGTTGCACGTTGCATTATGGGAGAATGAGTTCCTAATAGTGTGGAGAAACCCATTCAGTCATAAAACAGTATCTGTCACTCCTGTCAGACAAAATTATGTCGGGGGAGAGGATTCTGCTCTAGCCCTCCTACGCTTTCTCTGTGTGTGCACAGGTTTTAGTGCGCTCGTGCTCACGTTTGTGTGAGAAAACAAGAGCAGAGAAATAAAAAAACTGATGACAGAGTAGAAGAGGGAGAAAAAAAACTGCAGCCATGGATTTAGACTTTCCTCTCTTTAAGATGCAGAGAATGGGATCCAAAATGCCTATGTGTGGGCATACATTTGTGTATACGCACATAAGCTTTTGTGTGCGGCTGCTCTCCATATTGTGATTCTCCAAGCACAAATCCCATGCTGTCTGTTATAATTATTTTGTAAACTGGCTGCTAACACTGCAGCAGCTCCTGAAGCAATTTGCACACCCCATCTACTCAGCAGGAATAAAACATAACATCCTGGTTCTGATCTGTAAATACATGTTTCTTATTCAGTCGCTGAGGTTATGTACTGTAACACCACAGGCAACAAGAAACTTCTGCAAAGTCATTGATTCTGGATCTTGGACTTTTTGAGTACTTTTTTGGTCACGACTAATAAAAAGTCAACCAGCATAATATTTATTTTGGGTGGAAGTTTTTCTTGTGACATGACTGATGGTAACTTTTGACCTCTACTGCTTGTTGTGCTATTTGAATAAGTGGCTCTTATCACTGTCAGTTCAACATGGGAGAACAATATAAACTTATTAAAATAAGTCCAAGAGTTTTTGCCTAGCAGTAACCATTGCTTTCAAAGTCAATTTATAAAAGGTTAACCTATTTTCTCTTATACAGACATTCAGGCTTTCTGTGGTGTCTTTGATTGTTTTATGTATTAAGTGTGGTTTTCTGTGTTGAGTAAATAACTTCTGCTCAGAGTTGTTTTTCCTGGGCTAATTTTAACCTCAGCTTGCAGGCAGCTGCTAGGTAGCAAGAGTTGTGAATTGATGTTTCCATGTCATTTTAAGATTTTATGCTTCCCTATGTTGTATTTTTTTCACTTATTTTTCATGGATAGAGTAAAACTAGACAAAAATTGTATCCATTAAACAAATATTAGCTATAGCTGACAGGCAGCTGCTAGGTAGTGAAAGTTGTGAATTGATGTTTCCATGTCATTTTGAGATTTTATGCTTCCCTATGTTGTATTTTTTTCACTTATTTTCCATGGATAGAGTAAAACTAGACAAAAATTGTATCCATTAAGCAAATATTAGCTATAGCTGACAGGCAGCTGACAGGCAGCTGCTAGGTAGCGAGAGTTGTGAATTGATGTTGCTTTGTCATGTTGTTTTTCCTGAAGTGCTGAAGTGTTTTATTATCAGAGTAAACTCTTTGTGTTTCACTTTTAGTACCCTGCCTTCAAAATAAAGACAAATCATGCATTGGCACTGATGTCTACTTGACACTGGATCCATAGTAGACTGGTGAGTTTTGGACTTTTTCCCTTTTCTACTATCACCAATAAGCTGAAAATAATACATCTGTTAAAAGGCTTAAAAAGCTATTTCACTGAATTGAAGCAGTTCCAATTCAGCCTTTTTATGACAGGTCACACAGCTTAAGCATGTTAACACACATGAATGTGATCATCTATTGGCAGGTAGCAATGCCATTTTAAATATTCAGTTTTTTAGCAGGATGCTGTCCAAGGAGTTGACAAATCTTATAGACTGCGAATCCTGCACAGTATTTAACCATGAAGCCAATTCAATGATAGAGCCACAGTTTTGAAGATGACACGATTTAACACTTCAGCATACGTGTGTGCTGTAACTAATTTACGTTAAGCAAGTGTCTTTGAACCTTTTAAAACTAAACAGCAATTAAACTGATTTTATGCTTTACTTGGGATTGGGCATATTGTACTTTTCTGATATGGAGGTGCTCCTAAAAATTAATTAACTTATCATTTCTTCAAATCCATGCAAAAAGTGCTTTAGTATGCAATTACTATCAAGGCTACATCCATACAATAAGTGTTACTTAACACCTTTATACCAAGGTGGTAATGGTTGAGCTTATCTTTCCTTTTTAACGCCGGTCTTGCATGAATGTCCTTTTCCCTGCTGTGTCCAGTTTGAAACACACATGATTTGCTGCAATCTGAGCCTCTACATAAAGAACAGTCATTTTCTGCCATTTATATAAGCTTCAAAAAAAAAAGGAAAAAAAAAAAACAGCTGCCATTAACCGCATACCAGGCAGGTGTAGCTTTTTCAAAAAGTGCTTCTTCCCATAACTCAAAGGTACAGCATCTAACTAAATGTGTGTGAGTAAGCAGGTGTGTTCGTTACACAGACCAGCAGGTGTGGATGCTTTGAGAACCTCTGTGTTAAGCACCTGTAGTGAGCGAGCATAAAAAAAGGGAAAATATGCACAAGCTGGTGGCACGATTCCTCTCTTCTCTGTCTCTTTGTGTCTCTTTCCTGTGCTCATTTGCTTTCCCTATCCGGGCCCATCTGTCTCTGTGTCTTGCTTGTCTCGGAATCGCTCCATATAGCTCCTCCTCTGCCTGTCTCTCCCCCCTCCTGTGCCTCAAGGGGACACATTTTATATTTTTAGTGCATATCCATATTTTAGTGCAGTTACTGAATTTTTATCTCTTGATCATAGAGGAAGTCTCTCGCTCTCTCTCTCTCTCTCTCGCTTGCTCCTCTGTGTGAGCTGCTGATTTCTGGTGCATGGGTAGGACGAGTGCAGCAAAAGGAGGAGGGGAGAGAGAGAGAGAGAGAGAACGAGAGAGAGAGAGAGGCAAACTCCCAATTACGTTTCCACTTTGGGTCTCCGTGTCTCTCTTTCTCTGCACCGCAGTGAAGTGGTACTAATCAATTTCTCTGGCTCTCTGTTTACAACAACACACTCTACCTCCCGTCAGCAAACCAACAAAGGCTCTTTCGTGTGTGTGTGTCTGTGTTGGTGGTTGTGTGTCAGTATGAAATATGAAAAAGCCAGTCTCAAAGATTGGGTGGAGACTTTGCAGATTGCGGCAGACTACAGTGAACACTGTAAGGCGAACGCACACCGATGTGACCTGAATAGAAGAAAAAAAAATCCTGACGCATAGTTCGCTCCAAAAGAGTTCCTATCAATAAGCAGTGTGGAAGGGTAAACCACAAACACGCACACACTTCCACACATACATAGGCAGTGACCCCGTGCCACCCCAATAACAGGGGTCTCAGGTTTTGATTAACTGTGGTTTTGAGGTGCTATCGAAGACCACAACCGCAATCATAGCTAAAGACAGACGGAGTGCACGGTAATCTGGTTTGGGAAAGAAGTGTAGGAGAGGGGATAAGTGGAAGAAACATGGAGGATAAGATGGCATGATAGAGGCAGAAAGAGAAGGAAAGGGAGAAAAGAAAAAGAGAGATTAGGGAACTTTAAGGGGAACAGAACAAAAGAATTGGGTAAATGGTGAAAAAGAGGAAAAGGAACGAAAAGACAAAAAGCATAGCCATCTATCTCCCTCTCTTTCTAATCCAAATCATTATTTTTAGCCACACCTTTCTCTTTTACTATCCTTTTCTTGAATTTTTTTCCCTTCTCAGCCCGAATCGCTCTGAATGATGAGCTATTGGGGCATTAAACATGAGGTGTTTAAGCCTGAGAGAGGCAGCCAGATGTAGGTATAAAGATACATGACTGCCATTTAAAGTCCATTACAACGGCGGGAATTCTCCGCCATTCACAGCGACCATTTATTACAGGAGCTTTCTCACATTAACCAGGTGAAGGAATCCATAAGCTTGTTAGTAAATGAGCTCATTGATCAACTAAGTGTTGTAA